GACGAGGATGGTAATACTAGTAGTGGTAGTCGTAGTAGTAGTAGTAATAGTAGTCGTAGTAGTAGTGGGTGGTGGTAGTGGGCAGGTAACCGTGTATGGTGGTAGCCTCGTCCTGGCAGTGCTTATTATAGCCCACCAACCCAATCTGAACACGAGGGAGAAATATTTTTTTTTCCTATCTTCTCCTTCTACTTTTTCGTCTCCTTCTTCTACTTCTACATCTCCTTCTTCTACTTCTTCATCTTCTTCTACTAGTAATTCTCCATCTTCGTTCTCTTCTTTTTCTTCACACTCTCATAACAGTTGTTGATCGAATCCTTTTGTGTGCGTTAGAGTCGATATCAAAGACACCATTAGCGAACAATTGTATCTATACGTATATCTCTGCTTGTATGTGTACCTGTATTTGTTGTGTACCTGTATTTGTACCTGTACCTGTATTTCTACCTTAGTGTGTACTTGTACTGTTGGTTCTGACTTAATGAATATACGACAAAAATAGCGCGAGACATAAACAGATGGAGGAGTGCGTGGCCAGAGTGTTTGTAAATGTACATGTTTGTTTATACAACGTTGGTATGTGTGGGTCTCACCCCCTTCCCCCACCCTCCCTCTCCTTCCTTCCTTCCTTCCTTCCTTCCTTCCTTCCTTCCTTCCTTCCTTCCTTCCTTCCTTCCTTCCTTCCTTCCTTCCCTTCCTCTTCCTTCCTTCCTTCCCTCCCTCTCATTCCTCCTTCACCCTCCTCCCTCCTCCTTCCCTCTCCTTTCCTCTCCCTTCCCTCCTCCTTACCCCTCCCTTCTCTCCTCCCTCCTCCCACCATCACCTTCTTTCCCTCCATCCTTCCCCTTCCCGAGCATGCCCCACGTTTTTCCCTTTCAAAGTCGGCTTAAAATTAATCGGCTTTCAGGTACAAATTTAGATGTAAAGAGCCTGAGAGTTAGACCAGTCCAGCTCCACATAACATTATTTATTTAATATATTCATAACCTTTTCACCTCATCAATAACCAATCACTCTTTTCCTCTCTATACAATTTATTTCATGTTCAATCGATCTATTTCCTTATATTTCCTCACTACTGCTGTTACTTCTATGACCGACCGTCTAATTTATCGTTGTTTATCGTATGACTTCTATGTTGAACACAGGTGAGGATTTTATAATGACACACACACACACACACACACACACACACACACACACACACACACACACACACACACACACACACACACACACACACACATATACACACACACACACACACACACACATACACACACACACACACACACACACACACACACACACACACATATATACACACGCACACACACACACACACACACACACACAAAGGGTGATGCAAGAGACCAGAATGGGGAAGTTAGGTGAGAGAGACGACTGTAAGGAAGATATAAATAAGGAAGACAAAGAAAGAGAAAGAAGAGACAAATACAAAGATAAGAATGATAATATAAGAAAGATTACATAAGGGAAGGATGATTAGAATAAATTAAGGAACAAGAGAAGGAAAGATTATAAAGAGGGCAATGGTAAAGAAAAGGAAGGTGAAGAAGGTAGGAGACAAGGGGGGGGGGGCACTATCTGGGCTTCTCTATGTACAGCTGAACGAGTGTGTCACAGAGAACGTGTATCACCTCAGACACGCCCATTATTCTAGAAGTAGTAGTAGTGGGGGATGATAGTAGTAGCAGTATTAGTAGAAGATTGCTGTCACCGAACATCAAAACTCAGTTAAGCTCACGGCAGCCCTAACGGACCACATAATAGCTCAGAACGTAACAGGGGAGGTGGATACCAGCGAAGTAAACAGGATTCGAAGGTCCATTACGACAGAACGACAGCACAGCCAAAGTGATAAGCTGCAGCAACTGTTGTTGCAAGTACCAGCTCAACTAACTCAACACAGTTAGGATAGCTACTTATGTATTAGGATATTTAATATTAAGGTAATAAAATGGTGGCGAAGGAATGGCTATTGGGGGAGGCTGGAGGCCATTTAAAAAAAAAGTAGTTGTAATAGAAGTAGTAGTAATAGTAATAATAGTAGTGTTAGCAATAGTGGTAGTGGTAACCGTGGAGGTAAAAATAAACCCATTTTCACAACTCACTCACAAAGGATTGTAAAAATAGGTTTAATGCCACGAATTAACACAATTTATGTACCATACTGTATAATGTATGTATAAATATGTATAATCATCCGCTAATTAATTCTGTTATTTTTGGACAAGTAAAGAAAGCGATATTTACTTTCTCCAGTGAATAACACAAGCGCCCTCTATCTCACTATCTTTTATCTTGTTATATTTATTTAGTGTGTTGGGGGGGCTCTCTTATCAGCTGTTCCTGCAACAGCGGATATCTAGACCTCCTGATTACGTTATTTGTTGTTGGGAATTATTGCGTCGTTGTTGTTATTATCACTATGGGTGTCAGGAGATAAATCGTAATGTCATGAGTACAATCAGTGCAGATAACACTTCAGTCTCCGAGAAGCTGTTCATGTGTGCTGTACTGTGGGAGTCTGTTTTAGAAGGCGTACACTAGACCTGACAGACACTCATGAGGACAAGACTATACTCGCTCCACCTGGTGACAATTGTAGAGGCAGAGTTTACAGCGACTTTCTCTCTTCCTCTCTGTTGTAGGGATCGATGGGTGGGTTAACAGTGTGTTCCGTGTTGAGAGGGTGACCTGGGAACCTCTGTGTCCATGTTGAGGGTGACCTGAGGGCCTCTGGTGCTACCCATTGCTTCTGTGTCCATGTTAAGGGTGACCTGAGGGACCCTGTGCTACCATTGTTTAATGA